GAAATTTCAAAGATACTTTATTTCAAAAATTTTTGAGCAAAGCAGCATATTACACAAGCATCATATCCTCTGATTCTTGCAAAATAATACCTTTCAACCCAATGATATTATCCTAAAATTATACATTCACCTATTAATGAATACTATAAAGAAAAAAATAACTATATATTTAACTCCATATAATAAGTTCTTTGAACAATTTATTTTAATAACTTTTCAAATTTTTATAGCGTTAAACCTAAAACTACTCACCTTAAATTTTTTTTCCTTTTTCTTTTTTTTTTTTATCTTTTTTTCTTTAACACAAATTTTCTTCTCGATTAAAATATTCAAGGTTATAAACTTCGAGTAAATAACTGCTTTTTGCAGATTTTTAATAATAACCAATATATTTTTTCATTCAATTTTATAGATTTAGATAACAAATAAATGCATTATCTCTATCCTTGTTATAACTAATTTCAGTATTCTATTTAAAATACTAAATAATTTTTGATTATTTCATTGAATTTATTTATTTTTCTTTAATTATTTTTTTGATTTTATCCACTAATTTTAACTGCATGCTTGTATTATCTTGTTGTAGTAGATACATATAAGCAGTCTCTAACCTTCGAGTGCAGAATCAGTACTAACTATAGGAACCTCTAGGCTATCATCTATTTCATCTATATTATCTGAATCTTCTATAGTATTGCTTTCCTTAAAAATTTTTACAAGTTCTGAAATAGCATAATCATCATTAGGAACTTCATAAGCAAGAGTCTCATCAGAGATAGATAAAAACTCCTCAACTTGTATAGGATTTGAAAAATAAAGATTTTCAATTATTGTGACAAGATTATTAATTTCAGAACTAATATTTTAATTAATGTTTTCAGAGAGATTTCATAGATTTGCATTAAAGCTTGTAGAGAGAACATTAGTATATCACTAGCAGTTGTGAATAGTATCTGTATTTACTTCTTTTCAAGCTTGAATAGTATATCAAATAGCTTGTAAGATATCTATTTTCAAGTCTTCTACACAATTACCTGCTTCTACTTGCTGTAATATTCAAGAAATATGATGATGATGATGATAGTGCTTTTTGAAACTCATAATTATTCTAGCATCTATTTGTTGAATTTTTGAAGTTGTATTTGTAAGTAAAAAATAGATATTTACATATTGTAAATTTAAAAAATTGAGTTTATGACTAAAACACTTATCTAAAAGCAAAATTATAGATTGGCTATCATATTTTAGACTAACTTGGTGATCAAATTCTTTAAGCTAGTCTTGAAAAACCATTGTGATCATCTAATCTTTGGCATTATTTTAATACATAAATAGCATGTTTTTAAGATTTATATTTTTGAAACACCTTAGTTTTTGATATTTGCCAATTACTAACAGGTTTAATTTATGTGAGCCATCTGCATTTACACATAGTGCAATTGAAATATGTTCTCTATTCACTTTATATCTAGCAATACAGTGGGTTGCAAAAGTATGATCTAGTTCTAATTGATAGAAAAGCCTAGTTTCATCCATATTGTATATTCTATCAAGTGGGTAACTAGTACATTTGGATCTTATCAATAGTAATATATTAACAATAGCAACATTGTCTATAGATATAGCTTCATCTTGTAGCTTTACTTGCTGAATACAATTACATTCTTTAAATTTTTGCAACCAGCAAGAAGAAAATTGTAAAGTCCCTTTTGGAACCTCTAATCTAGCAGCAAGTAACTTTGCTTTCTCAATTAGTATAGCATTGCTTAAAATTGTTTTGTGCTGATAATTTAAAACAAACTCCTTTAGTGCAAGCTCAACTACTAGAACAGTAACAGGTCTATAGTGTTTTGTGTTAGGGTTAGAAGCTTCAGAGTCAAATTATTTTTCTCTAGCTTTTAAAATTTTTGAAACTATACTTTCATTGATTCTAATATCCCACTGTTCTTCTATCTAATTAATATATTTAGCTTGAGTCATTTTATTATCACAAGCATAAGTATAAAGTGTAGTCTTTTGTATATCAGTTAATATAACTTTTTTGGAAGATATTTTTTTTTTTTTGTACATACGTATTTTTATCATTATATAGTAGATTTGTATACTAGTAAAATAATTTTAGCATATTATTAAAATAATTTTAGCATACCATTGAAATAATTTTGGCATGTTATTGAAATAATTTTTGTGTAATATTTGACATGATTTTTCATTATAAATAGTTTTTTTGAATAATCTGTCAAATCACAAAGTACTAACTTTTGCAGTATTTTTTGTCAAGATTCTTAATAATGTAGTAATACTACTAATGCTAAAGTATTACTAGTGCACTAGAATAAATTTTAGAGTTATGAGAAAAAAATTTGTTCATTTCATTCTAATGAGTCTAAGATTTCTGAATTAATAATTTAATAATCAGATAAATTTAAATCTAAATTATGCAAAGTGCCTCCATTCTTATCAAGTAATTTAAATATTAAATTATGTGATATTTTAATGAAATATCAGATTTGTTCAAACTAATTTGCTAGAATACAATCTATTTATTTATTTTTCAAATGAGATAGATTGAGAGCTTTTTAAAAATCTTGTATAATTAAATTGTGTTTTAGAAAATTCTATATATAGATATATATAAAGCCTTTGATTAGATTAAAATAGATCTTGTCAAAGAATAGAAATTGGTATTTTGCATCAATATTGGCTCACAAGTGCACACAAGTATAAGGAATAAATTTCATCATTTAAATTATTAAGAATATTTTCCATTAATTCAAAAGTATAAATAAAAAATTCAAAAGAATTCGACTAAAAAATATAAATATTTTTGTCTTAGCGAATATAGTTATGAATTGTAAAAAATATAAACATTTATTATAAAAATATATAATGAACAAATTAATAATAAAATTATAAAAAATAGTTTCACTTTGGGCCTTAATGATAGATAATTTGTATATTTATAACATACTTGTTATAAAGTCTTTAAAGTCCTATACTTAACTTAATTAAAACAAAAGAATATATGGCAGTTAATTTTTTTTAATTTTTAGAATATAAAAACCACTAAAATCAAATAAATTTTTTTTTAAAAAAAATTATCAGTGAAAAATTCTAACAGAAGGTACTTCTATTATATTATTAATTTGCTACTAATTGCACTTATATGCTTAAAATTATTAATTTTATTCTTGATAGATTCCATTAAACATTTAGTACTAATAGAGATAATGTTCTTTAGGCCATTCGAAGTTGATTCTTCAGTTAACATTACCTCTTCTCCCAGCTGAAGACTTCCTCAAGAAATGAACAACTAATCAAAATGCTAGATAGCTCTTACCAATCTCTTAATTTATATCAACTAATCAAATTGTCTCATTTTTTATATTCTATATATTTATTTAATTTTATTTCCCCTCTTAAGAGTTCTAAAAGTAATGTTAACTAAAAATTCAACTGCAAGCAGCCTTATCATTATGAATAAAAAAAAGAATCATATGATCTAGGTACTTATATAAAAATTTTATATTGTGATTGGTTAGTATCACGTACATATATTTACAAAGAGTACACGTATAGATCTAAGACTTAGAATCTTTTGCATATACAGAATATAGAGGGTATGTACTTAGTTCTAAGTCCTGATATTAGAACCAAGTCACAGTGTATATTTAGAGAGGGTATGCACTTAGGGAGAGTGTATTTAGGGAGGTTAAACTGTATAATAATAGATATAGTATAGTCATATTTGAATAAAACCTCATATAACTCAAACTGATACCCTTTGTCTTTAACTCTTCTTAATACATACTAGCTAAACAACTTCACTTCTTCTACATACCATCTCAACCTTCTCTAACTAACTATCTCTACAACATATACTATACTTACTTTACCTCCAAATACTATATCTTAAAACCCCCAGATCTAGCACTCCTACACTAAACTCTAATACTTCTACTCCTATAGATATTATACTAAAACAATTTCAAAAACTTCAAGACCAAATTTCTAAATCACTAATTAAACAAAACACAACTTCACTACCTTTCTTTTTATTTAACTACGATACTAAAAATATTGCTATATTCTCTACAAACTTAAATTCTCTTAGCCAACAAATTTCTATTACAGCTCATTCTTATCATATTTACATATATCTAGGCTGCTACAAAAAAAATATTTACTGTATTTTCCTCTCAAATAAAAAATATTCTCTTTAAGCTAAAACTATTCTCAAAGGCTTTTCAATTCATTCAGAATATGTCAATAACATTCAAATTAAACCACTTTCTTAATCTAAACCTCTAATACTAACTCAACAAAACATCTATTATTTCATAAAATTTAGTCTTATGTCTGCTTATTACAAGAAAACTCTACTCAAATTTGCTTTTAGCAAACTCACTAAAAAACCTTTACTCAAAAAAAATACTTCAAATGATCTTAATTAGTTCAAAACCTTTCCTATAACTAAAAAAATAGAATAACATACTCAACTTAATACACAGGTCTCAATTAAACTTTTCAACTTTCTAAAACCAAATTTCATCAACTTCATATCAGAAAAAATTTTTAAACCAGCATCTGAAGAAACTTCTGCCTCTAAAAGTAACTTCAAATACCTTATTAAATTAATAGCAAGATAGCATCCTAACTTCTTTACAGATCTAATCTTTAATACTAACTCAAATATTGACAAAGCAACTACAATTCTATTCAATATTATTCTTTTAATTTTCAAATTATTACTATCTAAATTTTAACAATTCTTTTCACTAAACTAAACTACCAAAAAATCTTATTATTCTACAACACAATTCTTCTTTACACTATTCAAAACATAATTTATTAGCTATTAATCTTGCTAGAATTTATCTTTTCCTTCATGATAATTACAAAACTATCTATGCTAACAAATTCTTTGAGGATCTTAGTATTAAATCTAAAAGATTCTAATTATATTACTTCATCTTTAAAGATAAAATTCACTAACCTCTCTTCCAAATACAACATAACAGCAAATTTAATATTAATATCTCTCTTAATATCTCTAAACAACAATTCATAGAAACTTTTAAGATCTCTTTACTCAAAAAACATAAAGAAGATCTCAATAAATATTTTGAACTCTTCTTTAAAATCTACAAATATCAATTTCTTATAATAGGCCAAACCAAAACCTATAACTATATCAAACATAAAATTGCACTCTACTTTGCAAAGACTTGCAAAAAACTTCTTTCTAATAACTTCAAAATAACTTCAATTAATTCTCTCTGCAAATATACAATCTTATGCACTAAAGCTACTTTTTTTCATATTCACATATGTACTAGCATAGACTGCAATATTGTGCTTACTGATACAGAACATACTTTTAAAAATATCTCAATCTCCTTCTTTAATTAGTCTTTTACTAAATTTCTAATAACCAAATCTTTTAATCCACTTTAGAACAGAGTTAGATGAATACATTATGAACTTAACTACTAACAATTCTTAAAAGACTAACTAAATAAAGTATTATTTCAAATTCTCATATCAATTACTTTATTTTATAAACAAGCCAACTTAGCTGAACAAGAATTTGTTAAACAAAACAATATAGTAACTAGTATCAAAAAATATACTTACTATTTCTATACCTATCTTAAAAGCTTCTTTATAGCTTCAGCTCTAAATGAAGGAATTTTTACTCTCAACTATTATCAAATAATTCAAAAAATTACTTTTAAACCTACAAATACATATTATCTTGTTAGAATTCTAACATACTTTCACTTACTTCAACAACTAAAACTCTCTATTACACAAATTTCTGCTGAGTATAGAGACAAATTCTACTCTCAAGCAGAAAAAATTATCTTTAAAAAATTCAATATCTAATTCAATTCTACTACTATTAATTAGAATATTCTATTCAATACACTATCTTTACCTTTAATCAAAAACAAATACACTAAACAAACTTATGCTAAAAAACTTAATTCAAATATCTATACAACAACATCTCATACTCCTTTTCAATAAACTTTTTTGTAGAGCATATTAATACAACTACTATTTCTAGAATAATGATATTCTTTACTTATTATAAGCTATTTCTAGAAGTGAATGTAGTAAGTGAATGAGCAGACAAGTCTATTTACATAGGTGACTAATTTTATAATAACTAGACCCAATATACAGAACAGACTTTGAACTCTTGTATAATTATAAAAACTAGATATAAAGTAAGTGATTTTACAGAAGATTCACTCTTCCTCTCAGTTATCAATATATCATCTTATACTAAAGAAAATATTTGTTTTAACAACTTTCTACTAATAAACAATCTTTCTATATTTAGCAAAAATGAAACACTCAACTTATTTCTCAAATACTTACAAAAACAATTATATCAACTTCTATTTAAAATCTCAATAAATATATCTCAAACTAAAACTCATATCTATACAAATACAAAAGAACTAACACTTTCTAATCATACTATACTTCTTTCTCAACTCTACTACAAATACTATAATTTACTAATCTAAAAAAAAATTAAACAACTACTAATTAACTAAAATACTCTTCTCAAATCTACTAATATTCCTAATCCTACTAACAACCAAACAACAAATATACCTTCTACAGAAAATGAAATACTAATACATATACTCAAAATTAACTCTCTTAATATAATATTGAGTCTAACTATTATTTATTTGAGTTGCTATGTAGATAGGCTTTACTATCTGCCTACTTATATTATTCTTCTCTAAAATTAGCCTGCTAAAAGTAGATATAAAGTTCAATTCAGAGACAATAGTTACATCTATATATATAGAAGACCTAGTTATTAAAAAGAAGTAGTAGATAAGAAGAAATAATCTTCTAAATTATTTAGTTTCTGAAAGTTTATATTGAAATTTTTTTTTAAATAATTTTCTGCAAATAGGTAAACTTTTTCAGAGAAATATTTAATAATTTCAGGATATGTTAGTATTTGTTCAAATATTATATTAAAATTAGTAACTACTAATACTAGTATAAAAGTATCAAGAGTTTTGTTTATTGTAAATTTAATTACTTGGTCTATTATTATTTGGAAAATCTAAAAATTTTGTATAGCTTGTTCATGATATAAGCTAAAATATTTGTAAAAATAGTAATTTTTTTATTTAGATTTAGTTCAACTTAGTTAAGCTTTTGAGTTTGCTCTTCA